AAAAAAAAAAAAAAAAAAAAAAAAAAAAAAAAAAAAAAAATTCTGACGATTCAATACTTCAGAAAGTCTCTTAAACCCGTTGCTAGGGCAAAACGATTGATATTTTATTATCTTTCAGAAGTGCAACATGAAAGCCTTGCAGCCCAGCAGAGCTAGGGCTTTGGTCCTCTGCAGCTGGCAGACCTGACTTCAACCAGAGGAGCCCAGCCTCTCTCAATAAGATGCTATTGGGTATAAAAAAGGTGTTAGGGGAGACTAATAGGATCCCCGAGATCCTGCTGCTGCCAGACAATGGGTGCTGTATGCAGCACTGAGGAATACACCCCTAGGGCCTAGAGCACCACATCTGTCACCTAGTTCAGGTGGCCACATTCTGGGAGGGCACTGTACATGAAGTTGGGCAGTAGGTATAGAGAGGCAAGTGAGTATATACACAGCTTTTCTTCATCTCCATGAAGATGCCCCCTTCAGAACCCCAGCCGCCTGCTTTCCTTATGTTGTCCTGGGTCCCAGAGAGTACTTGTGCCAGTGGTGAAAGGTATATTGTTGGGCTGTACAGATAGGAGATGGAGTGGCATCTTGAGCTCCCTTCCGTAGTTCTGGTGGGGACCACAGGAACTCTGAAGGTCTCCAGACATCCACTACCTTCAGCATTATCCCCAGAGCACAAATCATTCTGGGGCACAGACCCTGGGCAGAGGTGGAAATGCCATCTTGCCAACATATGGATAACATTCCTGAACAGAGGGCTCTCTCACACAAAACTCAGGTTTTCTGGGTTCTTGCCTTAGGCCTGGGGAGCCAAGAAGGTGGGGTAACTTTGGTTAAAGATGCACCCTGCTTTCCACATGCTTCTCATAGTGACAGTCCCCTACAGACACCAAAGAGGAGCCCTCCACACCCTTCCTAAGGAGGGAACTCTGGAGCAGGGCATAATCCGAAGTACCACAGGATAAGAAAGTACTGACGTTAAGTACCCAGATCAGTGGCTCTTCTCTCCCTGTCTGGCCTGACCCCAAACCTCTCCTTTCGATTTACTCAGATGGCCTCCTGGAGCTCCAGGGGAGGGTCTGTGAATAGAGGAGAATGTGCTGAGAAGGAGGTTATCCCCCAGCCAGCCCAGAATCATCTAGACCCCCACCCTTCCATCTCTGCCTTCACTAGGGCCAAGAGCTAACTTACTGGGCCCCACGACTTCCCCAAATATATTCACTCAGGCCAGACATTTTAAAGGCCTTTTCCTGCTGATACAATTAGTCTGGGACAGTCAGATGAGACAGCATCCAGTATGACCTTGAACAAGTCACTTAACTTTCAGTTTTGAGCAGTAGCCATGGCAACAACACCTCAGTGGGTAGAAGGCCCAGACCCAGTGGAGGACTCCTGGGATGTCCCATTACTCCCAACCTTTCCAGTCCCCACCCAAATGCCAGCAACGGTGGGCTTGCCAACAATCTTGCCACCTCTCCCAGCTACAGCACCTACAGGCACACAAGCCTTACCTACAGGGCCCAAGGACTCCTGGGGCAGCCACTCACTCCCTGGACCTTAGTGCCTCTCTTAGGTTACAGGACACATGCTGTATTTTACCTCCAAGGCAGCTGGGATTCCCCAACCTTTTAGGCCACTTACTGCAAGGCACTCCCAGCCAAAAAGACTTCGGGGGTACACGATACCACCTGCTAGGGGAGTGCTGCAGCCAAGTGACCTCTCAGCTCTCAGCCCTCTTGAAGCACCCGGGCTCTTGGCCATACATCCAGGCCACCTTCAAACCACTCCCTCTGGAGTGCTACTGGCCCACGGCGGGACAGTTCTTCTGGCTCAAACTCTTGCCTTCACATTCAAGGAGACATGAGGTAGAGGCCAGCACAAGTCATGCCTGTGGCCGCTTCCCCCACCCCCTTCCTGAGGGCCCAGCTGGCCTTCTCTTCTTGGTCCGGCATCCCAGCTTTCGCGAGGTCCTCCCGCGCTCTCGCTCGCCCCCAAGCTCTCTAGTCCGTTTCTCCCCGAAGCTGCTGATTTGCTGGGCGCTCAGCGCCTCTCCGGTTACGCGGCGGGCGCGGGGGTGATGGCTGCGGTGAGAGAGGAGCAGCCGCAGAGACCAAACGCTCAGCACCAAGCGCCGGGGCGCGGAGACCGGAGGGCAGCCCGAGACTCCACGCCGCCCCGCGGCACGTCTTCTCGCCCCTCGCGCCCGCCCGTGAACCAGGATACCTACGGGGCGCGAGGCCAGGAGCTCGCCCATCCCACCCGGGGTCCGTCCTTCCTCCCCGGGCCGCCGGCTGGCTCCGCGACACGGCGTGGCCGCGAGTCTGTGTGCCTGGGTCCCGTTGCGTGGCATCCCGCGCGCCGCGGCGAGGGCTTTGGGGGCATCGGTACCCCTGCCCGCCACCTACCGTCCTCCTTGTCCAGCACCATCATCTCGGGCGCTCCTTGTCCAGCCGCTGCTCGGTTCGGCCGGAGAAAGGGCGCCGACTCCGGGCGCGCTTCGGCTAGGCGGCCGGTCCTCCGGCAGCAAGCGGGCTCTAATTACCCGCTTGTCCGGCTCTTAACCTAGATTGCACTCAGCTAGAATTACATTCAGGAGTGAAGCACTTCGCAGATACAAAAGCAGTCTCACCTACTTTTGTGCCTCAGAATTGCAAGGAACTACGAACTGCAATTTAGAGAAAGAGGGAGAGGGAGAGAGAAGGGGAAGAGAGGATCAGAGCCGTTTCTTTGATTCTCACCTTCTAAATGGCTCAATTTGCCCAGTATAATCTGTCTTAATGTAATTGCATTTGATAGCTCATAACCCTGGCTCTGGCAACGACACAGCTTTCAGCCTCATAAAGTGTTTTCCCCTCGGATTTAATCTGAATCTCAATCTGAAATTATATTCAAAGAGATGGGGGAATCTCGGCGGCCGACTCCCGCTGCCTTTCTCCCTCAATGTATGAGGTTTGCACTCCTGCTACTGAATAAATGCACACATTTCCCGAGGCCCCCCTCCCTGCCGGGTTAATGGGGAGTGGAGACGCGCCGTTGCCCGGCTCTGCAGCGCCACCTGGAGTCCTCTCCGCTCCAGCTCGGGGGGGGGCGGGGGGATGACTCCGCTTGGGTCTCAAGGTCTCCTGGTCTCTCAGGCCAGTCTGGTGGACCCTTACCTGTCCCAACCCCTTCAACCTTGGTTCCTGCTTCCAAACAGGAAGGCTGTTTCTCTAATCACAACTCCTATTACCAGCTCTGCCTAGGGTTTCTAGTCGACTCTATAGTTGTTTGGCAAAGTTAACTTATCCACAGGGTACAAAACCTCCTGTGAGTCCTACACTGTCCTTGATCCCAGTTCCCACCACCCACCAGCATCCTGATTCCGTGCAGAGGGGGAGCCCTATTTCAGCTTCTCTCTGAGCAAGCATGGCTGCTGGAAGGCGTTTCTCCTTCTGCAAATATTTATTGAGCACTTGCTATGTGTCACAAACTATTCTAAGGCACTGGATACAGCAGAGAAGATTCTGTTGCAGAGTTCACAATTCTTGCTCTGTAATTCACACGGCAGGAAGGAAGGCAGGTCCAGCGCCTCTCCTCTTATACCCCACTTCCCCCCAAAAAAAACCCTGTCCAGGCTGCCTACTCCAAGAAGGCCACCTACTTTTAAACCCCCAGGGTCATCGCCCCCTGCTCCAGATATTATAGAGATCCAAAATGGGAGTGGAAATGATGATTTTTAAGCTCAAGAAGGGCTCCCAATAAATATGTTAGGAACTTGGTCCTGGCAATTGCTGAGGCCTTGACTCTGGGAGGGCATGAGAAACTGAGTCTCCTGGAGGAGGCTGGGTATCAGATGAGAATTTATCCACGTGCTGCCTGTTAACAAATGGCAGATCTGGCAGGTCGCTTTTCTTCCTGCCTCAGTGTCCCTGTTTATGAACTAGTTACCTCTGTTCTGTCTCTAAAGGCGGCATGGAAAGAAGCATATGAAAGGTAAACTGTGGGCTCCAGACAATGTGGGCTGGGACACTATCTCATACACAGGAGACCTTAGGGTAAGCCTGGCCTCTTCCATCCTTTACAGGAGCATGGGGGTGGGGAGGGCCGTAGCCCATCCCCACGCCTAGGCAGGAAAGTCAGGCTTTGAGGAAACTGAAGAGCAGCTGTTTCTAATGAGATGCTTCATCCGCACGCAGCTCAGAGGGTTTCGCTTTCCCCTTCATCTTGAATACTTAATCCTAATAGTCCTTGAGTATATTTGATGTTAAATATATCATTTTGCTCAGACTCACTGTCCCTCAGGACTGCAAGCGTGATCTCTCCCCTGCACTGCAGCCAGAGCTGCGCCCTCCAGGTGCGAGGGAAGCATCGCTGTTGCTGGCCCCTCCCCAGCACCACACCCAGCAGCCCCCTCGCCCTGCTCTGAACCAGGGCCGGCCGATGCAGTAAGTGGAGGGCCCAATCTTGAAGAACTGTCTCCGGGCTATCTGGAGACATTAGATCCTGATCTCCTTGCCTTGGGGGCCCTAACACTGACCCACAAAACCGGACTCAATTACCTGGGACCATATCCCTACTCTCTTGTCTAAACCTCAGCTCACCCCAGCTTCCAAGGTACCCATCCCTTCGGGGAGTCAGTACTCCTGCTTCCCAAGCCTGAGGCACAGAGCAGTAGGTAGGGCATCAGCAGAGAGCTGGTGCTATATGTGAAGGTTGCTTGTTCCCACATGTGGCTTCCCCTATAACCTAGCTATAAGCATGGCACTCCCAGTTCATTGTAAAATATGAATCCCAGAACTAAGTGGCAGAGGTGCCCAGCAAGTCTCAGGGAGGCTTAGGGAACCTTGAAGCTCACACCTAGGAAGAAGCCAGATGTGAGCTTCAGTTGTGGGGTGGCCTCCTCAGAAGCTCACAGGTGGGTCCCACCCTACCAGCCTTACCCTTCCCAGGCAGCTTGCAGGTCCAGGGATGTGCCAACAATGTCTGAGTGGAATCCCAAGACACCCCAGGGCTGGAAGAGGCAGTTTCCACTCAACACATTCCACAGGTGGTGAGCCGGCACTGTCACTTCAATACACCACGAGTGCTCCAAAATGCCCTTGGAATGCCTCTGGGGACAGCCAGGGGACACCGGTTGATCAGTGCCCAAAAAGGCTACTTGGGAGAGAATGGGGGTGGCTGCTGGCTGCCTCACATATTTCTGAACAGGTCCCAGCAGTTTCATCCTTGTGCCTGGCAGAAACATCCAGAGAAAAGGATTCCTGCACTGGGGGTGGGAGACAGTTTCACTTGCCGCCTAAGGGCCCAGGCAGACTAGATAATCCAGAACTCCTCAAAGGCTGGCCAACATGCCTGAGCCTGAGGGCCCTGCTTTCAGCACAGTGACATTATCTCCAAGAACTGGCCTCACAGGTGGTAGCTGGAGAGGTTTTCAGGGTGACAAGGACCCTTTCCCTGTGTACATGACAGCTACAGGACAGAGTAAGCCAGTATTTGCAGTGCCATCAAGCTTCCTGTGAGCCAAGTTCAGATGTCCAGCCTTACCCCCTATGTATACAAAAGCAACCAATGCACAGGAATTCGCAGCCAGCTTACAGTGGAGAAGTGCACAGTCGGCAAATGCCCTCTTTGGGATTCTGGAGAGCCTAGAGAGGCCCTCTAAGAAACTGCAGCCACAAACTGTTAGGCCCTAGACAGCCCTAAACCAAATCTACACAAATCTACCCTGCCCTTCCACCAACGACACCCACAAAAGCCCCTTGACAGCTAAGGGTTTAGGAGGACCCAAGTCTGCCCAAAGACCAAAGGGTACCCTATGCTACAAGACTTGCTATGCTAGAATACACTGCCCTGGGCAAGCCAGGACAATTGATCACCAAAGGGGAGATGGTAGGATAAGACAAGTAACTAATGGGACCAAAGAAGAGGCCAGACAGACCCTCTCCCTGGTGATTAGCAGCTCCCAACTCTAAATTTCTGAGCCTCCTGTCCTACTATGTCATACTCCAGGCATGACTGTATGACTGTCCTCAGCCCTGGGGATGGTACGGAGATGACTTCTTGAGATACCTGTGGTATGGGGATAGGGGGTGAGGGAGGTGGTTAGTTAGATCCAAGGGTAGACTTAGATTTTGTGAGGTCCAAAGTTTATAGCAGTTTTTGGGGTGGGGGCTCTGGAAGAAAAGAAATGTGATCCAGACCAGCCTGGGTTACACAGTGAGTTTTAGACTAGCTTAAGGCTGTAGCACAAGACTGTATCTCAACTCTCAGAGTCCCCACCCCTACCCACCTGGCCAGAAAACAACTAGAGGACTATGAAGATTCCTAATACAAATGGATCTCCAGGGATCTGGTAACAGGAAACCCTGAGGACCCCAAACTTCTCTTGGCTAATCAACCCATCTCTTCTAACCAGCAGGACACTCACTAAAGTGGTCTGGGTGAACTGATGGCCTGCAACCTCCCAGGCCTGCAGGAGGCGGAGACAACATCACCCACCAACTAGGCCCTGAAGTCCCAGCCTCCGGATGTGAGGCAGGGAAGACCCAAGGACCAAGCTGGTTAGATGCACCTTCACAGGCCAAGTTCTTCTCCGAGTACCCCCTGGGGGATCCCTTTCACACTGCGGTCTGGAAAAACTTGAAAATACTCAGGGAGGCTGGCGGTGGGGACTACCGGGAAGCCCGCGCCCCATGGGTCTCTGTGCTCCGGATGCCTGCAAAGGGAGCGAGACAGAAAGTTCCTAGCCAGAGCATGCCCTGGCTAACAGGCTCCAGAAAGGCGGGGGGGGGGGGGGCGCACGCACAGACGACCCAGAGCTTGGCACCTTGGACACACACACACACTCACACACACACACGTCCAGCTGCCGAGCTTCCGGGAAGCCGCCAACGGGCTCCAAGCAGCAGTCGGGACGGGTGCCTGGGCCTCTGCCACGGGGATGGAGGTGGCCTCGACAGAACCCGCGCTGTTCCCAAGCGTACCCGGGCACCTACCGTCCTCTTGGTCCAAAACCATAGTCCCCAGGCGGCTCCAGCCAGGCGCAGGCGGGGAATGCAGAGGGACTCGTGGCTCGGACTGTCGCCAACGGGGCGCCTGCGCCGCTTTCCCCGGTCGCGCGTGGGCCCCGCGCCCCGCGGCCGCCGACGGGGGCGGACGGAGCGGCGCCCCGAGCGGTGCGCCGCGGGCAGGGCGCGCGGGAGGAGCGAGTGAGGGCGCGGCGTGCTTGGGGGGCGGGCACCGGGCGGGGCTGCAGCCTCGTGGGCTGAGCTGCTGGGACCCGGGCTGAGCTGCTGGGACCCGGCCTGAGCCGAGCAGGAGCCCGAACCCAAGCTAGGGCCAGAGCCCGGAACCGGAGCTGCCGCCGCAGCCGCGCGCGAGTTCCCTCTTGCAGCCTGCCGCGCTGGTTCTCAGCAGAGTGCAGCTTGCATTTCCCAGGGCCCCTCAGATTCCCCTGTTAATTAAATCAATTCATTATGCTCAGATCTGATTAGCGGCCCTTCCCCCCCCCCCCCCTTTGAATCAATTATTCAATACACAAACATAATTGCTTGGGCCAGAGGTGCCCGCCATTAGCTTATTTAACTCCAAGGACACTAATTACCCGCAGGGCACGGGAACTTTTCTCATTAATTCTGACAAAACACAAAAGCACAGCCAGAGTGTGTGCATGTGAGGGACTCTGTACGTGTGTGTGTGTGTGTGTGTGTGTGTGTGTGTGTGTGTGTGTGTGTGCGCGCGCGCGCGCGCGTGTGACCGCATGCCTGAGTGAGGGATGTATGGGGTGGTGGGCCTCTGGGGACGGTGGCATTTGTGCCATCACGTGTGGGAGTGTGCAATTTTCAACCTATGAACGTTCTGGTGTGAGTGGGACTCCAACTCGGTGTGTCTGAGTGTGTGACAGTGAGTGAGTTGAGCTGGGTGTGGCCCTGGATCTGGGACTGTGGACCAGGGTTGGCGACCTAGCACAGGAATGTGGAGTGCTTCTGTGTATGGCTTTGAGAATGTGACTCCCTGGCATACTACAATCTCCTTTTTCATTACAGTCCAGCGACTGCAGCCGCAAACCTGGAAAGCACAGACTACAGAAGAAAAACCAGGCAAGGGCAGGGGCGGGAGCAGCAGGCAGCGAGGGCAGAGTGGGTGAGGCTGGAAGAGACCGCAGTATCCATCCATTCCCCAATCACCTGCTTCTGCTGAGCTTTGCCACATGCACCCCCAAGCACCTACCCCAACTCCTCCCCTGCCTTCCCCCATCCAATACTACCCTCACTCCCCAACATAACATAAAAGCCCCCACTTACACATAAGCTTGACGCCAGGGCAACCCCACCCACCCCATCTTAGTTTTCCTCCAGTCTCAAAGCTGCAGAGAGGGTGTGCTTACGGTGGACCAGCTCTGCATTTTGCCTCCCAGGAAATCTCTATTGAGGGAGCCGGGGAGAGAGCCCACAGAGGCAGGGACACAGAGGGTAATTGATTCCCCCAAATTAGGTTTCTGCTTTCCAAAGACTGGTATTGTTGGAGTTCTCAATGTGCACAGAGGTATTGAAGATTTCCTTTTTGTTTCCTCGGGCAATGAATGAGCTTAATCCATTTGGCTTTTATAAATCAGGAAACTAATATTCACTCCTTCCATGGAGGCTTAAAAAATTTAATTGGTGGGGGGGCTTAGTAGCCCTTATGCTGTACTCAAGCCCCCACTTATCAAAACACATTCTGATCGAGGGGTGGGGAGAAGAGGGAGGGTCACGCTGATCCTGCTGCCCTCCTCCATCTTTGCACATGGCCTCGAAGTACCTGGGAAAGTTTCTGAAATTATTGCACAAATTATGTTCAATTTAATGATGAAAAGGAGGCTGCTCAGAGGGTGCCTCCAAATTGGCTGCTTAGATGCCCAGTAGTGCTGAAGCCCTGGATGTACCCATGCCATGGCGGGTTTGCCAATTCCTTTTTCTCTCCAGCCTAAACAGTTCCAGAATTATCATCTTCCTGATGCCAAATGTTACCTTGTGCCTCTCCTTCAATGACAGTCTTTTTTTTTTTTTTTTTTTTTTTTGGTGGGGTGGGGGTATTGCACAGAGAGTTGGCTTAGTAAGTAAAGGCAGTTGCAGCCAAGTCTGGCAACCGGGGTTGGATCCTGGGGACCCATATGGCTGAAGCAGAAAATGAACTCTTGTTTGGGGGGGGGGTCTCCTTTGACCTCCATATGTGCTCCATGGCATGTGTTCTCTGCCTCACAAACTAACTAAATAAATGTGATTTAAAATTCTAAACAATCTTTCCTTATGCATATGTGTGTGTTCTTATATGTTTGTGTGTGTGTGTGTGTGTGTGTGTGTGTGTGTGTGCATGTTGGTGGGCTCACACAAGTGGAAGCCAAAGAACAATCTCAGATGCTGTGGTGATTTGACTAGGCATGGTCCCATAGACTAATGTATTTGAATGCTTGGCCCATAGAGAGTGGCACTAGTAGGAGGTATGGCCTTGTTGGAGTAGGTGTGGCTTTGTTGGAGAAAGTGTGTCACTGTAGGGGTGGGCTTTGAGGTCTCATGTGCTCAAGCTACACCCAGTGTGGCTCTCAGTCACTTCTGCTACCTGTAGATCAAGATGTAGAACTCTCAGTTCCTTCTCCAGCACCAAGCCAGCCTGTATGCTGCCATGTTTCCCACCATTGTGATAATGGACTAAACCTCTGAAACTAGAAGCCAGCCCCAGATAAATGTTTTCTTTTTTAAGAGTTGCTGTGGTCGTGGTGTTTCTTCATAGCAATAGAACCCTAACTGAGACAGTCCCCAGGAATACTGTCCACCTCCATTGATTCAAGGTCTTAACAATTCTACTGGACTGGCTGACCAATGAACCCTAGGGATTTCTTCTGTCTCTGCCTCCTCACTCTGAGAACTCAGGTCCTCAGGCTTGCAAGGCAAGGACTTCACTAACTGAGCTATCCCCCAGGTCCTGCTCATACAGTCTGTGATGTCTCCCCATGGTTCAACAGATAAACTTGGAAGTGCTTAGCCTATTAATTTAGGTTCTCTGTGTTCTGGGGAACACCTGGCCACTACCATGCTCCTTGATTCAGTTTAGATGATACTTATGAGGTCCCATTTACTTGCCCTCCTGCCTTGGTGATTCTTCGTATAGATCCATCTCCACAGAGGCTCCTCCCTGCTTCTCACAGTCCTGCAAAGTCACTTTTCTCTGCATTCCAAGTGGCTGTGTACATAAAAGCTGAGGTTGCTAACTGATGCATGAATGAGTCTGTGGAGATGTGGGGTATGAGGTCAGCCCTGAGGTCAGGGTTCAGCTCTCAGTTCTGCTTTTTTGAGCTGTGTATTTCAAAATGGAGGCTCAGAGACAGAGCACCAAGTTTTCCCAGGATGTCAAAGAGACAGCCTGTGACCAAAGCCCATCAGCATTATTTCTTCTACAGGCCCAATATGTAAGACTTTCTATGTTTAGTTCTTTATGTGACCAGGCAGGGCCACTGCCTAAAATTGGTGTTAGCTAGTCTTTGGACATCTTGTGAAGGGGCAACTGGGACCTGAAACTCTGCCCTCCACTGTCTAAGCCATGTGCCTAGCACCTACCCCAAAAAGGAAAGACATCTATTGATAATTTATACAAAGTACCATATGGGCTAGCATGGTGAACTCTGCATGAGGTCCTGGCCTCTTTGCAGCCATCCTGACTATGGCAAAAGCCTATATGAACCTTAAGGGACCAGCTGAGAGGGAAGAGAGAAAGACAGAGAAACAGAGAGGCAGACACACAGAGAAGGAAAATCAGAAGGAAATCAGTTAGAAAGTTAGAAAGTTAGAAAGTGGTAAATATATATATATATATATCAAAAATAATAGTTAAGAAGAAAAATTAAAACCCAAGTCTACTTCTATAAAAAGACCAACAAATAGAAAAAAAATTATTCTGACTAAAAAATAAAATAAAGGGAGAAAAAGAGACACACAGAGAGACCTAACTATTATAGAATATCAACTAATACTGCATATTGATGACAGCAGGTAGCCAGCTCCATCTTGCATTTGCATGGACTTAGTTCATAGGTTAGACTGGGACCTGCCATCAAGAGCTGAGGCTCCCATAGCACGGGGTGAGGAGCAAGCTGGGAGAGAGGTAATGCACTAGACTAGCTGCAAGACCTTTCCGGGAGGAAGCAGTGGTTCCAGCGATGCTGCTAGGCCAAGGAAAAGGCAGCCGTGAAAAGGAGAACCTGGGTCGCTGGGAACTCTAGTGTAAACACCGAGGGATACAGCTGTCTTGGAAGCTAAGGTAGCACCTTAGCCAGGCCAAGATGGAAAAGAAAAGGTAGGGGTCAGCAACATAGTAGCGTTGGCTACTCTGAGAGTAGGGAGACAGCGATCCTCCTAGCCCATCAATCCCACCTCTTAGCCCTTGGATTGTCAGGAAATTACTCTCTAGAACTTGAAATCTAAGGGTGTCCAGAGGGGACATTTTAAAATGTCTTACGTATTGTGGAAAAGATTGCCCTGGAAAGGAGAACTGGAGCAACAGATTTTGGGGTAAGTTATTGTAAAGTTTAAGATTGGTACTTGGCATTTATACAGTCTTTATGTTCCAATCTGCTTTGCTTGCTCAACAGGCATGATGGGAAAAACCTTTTCTGTAAAAATGGACCAGAGCAATAACCACTGCCCGCTGCTCCTGGTGGCAACGGAGTTCCATGTATCTGTTACAGAGGAGAGAGTGAAGAGAGTGAATTTCCCTATTGCAAAACAGATTGTCTGAGTAAGTTAAAAAATAAAATATAACCAAATGCTGTTTACAAGAAATTCTCCCAAAACAAGGTGACAAAAAAAGACTGAAAATAAAGCAATGGGGCGAAAAATACACCAAGCAAATGCAAGCAGAGAGGGAGTTGAAACAGCAATATTAATGTCAAACAAAGCAAGCTTCAAGGCTAAAAGCATAAACGGCTTGAAAATGAAGGCCTACACTCTGGAGTTACTTCTGAATCAAAAATAAGAACAAACCTAAAATGGAAATCATCTGATAATGGAAATGACAGCAACAGCATTCCATACAGAACCTATGAGACACAGCTGCAGTCAGAGGGGAAATTTATACCCGTAAATGCTTTTAATATCAAAAG